TTGAAAATTTAAAAAAATTTTTTAAACTATGAAAAGAAACATCTCCAATATTTTGACAGGTCCATAATTTTATCAGTACTCCCTCCAGCAAACAGTCCAGATTGAGGCCCATCCATGCTTTCTATACCTTGTAATTCTTGTTCAGTGCCCTCTGTAATTCCTCCATTCAGGAGCTACCCAACACCAGAGACCTTCCTATACATAATGGGTTCTTAACTGGGTACTGTGAACTTTTAAAATATATTTTGATAATGACATTTCAATATAATTTGTTTCCCTTGTAATACTATGTGTTTTATTTTATGCATTGAAAAACATGATTCCGGAGAGGAATCCAAAGACTCCAACAGATGACTAGAGGGGTCCATGACATAAAAAAGGTTATGAACCCCTTCTCTAGATATTTTTAATATTTCTCAGATAACAGTGCAACATTCAGTCTGTCTGTTCCTTGAATTGCTGCATGATAGAGGCTGGCGTTCTTTTCTTATCACACATGTCCCTTGACAACACCTTTTATTCCAACTTCCTATACTAAGCTATTATCATTGATGATGTCTCATACAACCTACTAACAACATCCATGTATCTTTCCACTGTGGTATTAGAACACAAGTACTTTAGTCATTAACATAACATGCAGGACTTTCTTTTCAAACTTAAGAACTATTAAAATGACTGAGTGAGCAAGCTAATCAACACTTATTTGCTCACTATATGCAAAGTCTAGTACACCTGGGCACTACGGGGAGACATAGAGGGGAAAAGGCCAGGTCTAGGCCTGCCCTCAAGAAATCTGCATTCCAGTTAGGAAGTAAGATAAGGGATAGGATATGATTTAGTGGCACTTAAAAGAATATAAAAACAAACACCAATTTTAAAAAGGCCAACAGAATTTCCAGATTTTAGGGAAATACTTTCTGAAAAGATCAGATGGCTTTAGGGAAAGTTTTCTGAGGAAGACTGGTTTTAAAAGAGGTTGTTGTTGTTTATAGTGTCCAAGTCTTCGTGACCCATGGACCATCATTGTTCACAGGGTTTTCTTGGCAAAGATACTAGAGTGGTTTACCATTTCCTACTCCAACTCATTTTACAGAGTTTACATTTTACTGAGGCATACGGGATTAAGAGACTTGCCCAGGGTCACATGGTTAGTTTGGATTTGAACCCATAAAGATGAGTCTTCGTGATTCTAAGCTCAGTGCTCATGCACTCCACCACCTAGTTGTCTTACCTCTCACTTGTACCTACAATGCCAAGTGCCTCCCAACTGATCTCCCTGACTAGTCACTTCCCTGGAGACAATCCATCTTCTACACAGTTGCAAAGGTAGAGCAAAGATCTGACCTTGTCACTCGCCTTTTCAAACTCCAGGAGCTTCAAATACAAACTCTGCCATGTTCAGTCTTGAAAATCTTCCCAACTGGGCTGCAACCTGACTTTCTGACCTTTTTAGACCTTCTCCCCATAATGCACACTTTGCTTTGCTATCTCTTATCTCAGAGTCTTTGTCCAGGCTGTCCCCACTGCCTACCTGGAATATACTTGCTCTTTATCTTCATCTCTTAGAGTCTTTAATTTCCTTCAAAACTCAGCTAACATGTCACTTCCTATACCAAACTTTTTCCTGATTTCCCAGCTGCTAAAACTCTCCCCCCCAAAAAATTGTCCTATATTTGTTTTGTATATATTTATAACTGCATGTGTTATTTCCTCCTATAGAATGTTTCATTTTGGGGTTTATATCTTCAGTGCCTACATGACATATGCTTAAATATGTATATGTGGAATGTGCTTAATAAGTTTTTGTTAATTGATTACTAATGAGAAATGAGGCCAGCAAAATGGGAAAGGTCTACTTGGTAGACAGCCTCAAAGCCAACACAGAGGAAATTAGATTTGGTATAATAAGTAACTAAAGACTCATGAAGCAAGAGAATGGAACGAAAGATAAAGATAAGGAGGCAAAAATCCACAGGACTGCAGGTCACAAAGCCAATCCTTCCAAAAGGCATTCTGAATGAAATGTCCAGTCTCTGAATTCCTGAACACTACTATGTGGTACCAAACTTCTAACAGCAGTTTTCAAAGGGAGGAAAACCCCAAACTGTCATATTTCCAAGCAATTCAGAAATGAAACCACATGGACCCTTAGAACCTAATCTTCACCTCAAATTAACGTCATTTTCTTTATATGCTCTTGGCATCAATACTGATTAAATGTCCGTCCATCTCACCTTGCCCATCAGATTATAAAGTCTTTTCAGGAGCAAGGACTATGTCGAATCTGGATTTTTAAATTCTATAACACCCAATCACATCCCTAAAATGTGATTTTAATGATGACATCAACGATGGGGAAGGACAAGGCTACAAGACGGCTCTCTATTTCTAAAGAAGGTTTTGTAACATAATTTGGGTCACTTGCTCAGCTAAGGTCTGCTTCTCTCATTTACTCAGTAAATTAGAGATATTATGCTTTTTAAATAAAATATTACAGATCCCTCCTCCAAATATCAAAATTCTTTATGCCTTCAAAACAATGTTCATACATCGCTCTGCCTTCCATTCTTCTGTCAATAAAAGTTTATCAAGCATACTCTGTAAAGGGTGAACTCCAGTTTACAAACCAGATTTATTATGACTTGGTACTCTCGAGCCATTCTGTATTAACACTAGAAGACTTTGAGATCAATTTGGACATGTCTCTTGGCTCCTGGGTGACAGTGACAGCCTCAGTCATATATGAGGCAGGCCACAGATGGTCAGTCCCAGTTTTTCCCCAGCATATCACACTACTCTGCATTCCCTGGGTCAGAGGTTTCAAGGCTGCCCTCTTCCACACAAACTGGAAAAAGAGAACATGAGCTATTTTCAACAATCAGATCTGTTAAGGAAAGCAAATCAAAAAGACTCATTTGATAAGGACTTCCTTTAATATGCTGGGCTTCCCACCAGGATTTTCACTCTGGAAGGTCAGGGGGCTGGGAAATGGGAAAGATGCAGTTTAGCATCTCCAAGTAAGTGCAGTTAAAGAAATGAAGAGGGAGTGGGGTAGGGGTGGGAAGTGTCTAGTATTACTAGACCAAACATTCCTCAAACCTTATTTTTCTGTGGGGGAAGGGAATACTCATGATTCCTCATTTTATACTCCTGCAACATAATATGTGGTGCCATCCATCCACATGCTGGGAATCTGAACAGGGATAACAAAGGCTGGTTGATTTTATGCAGTAACAAGAGACTCAGAACGGCTGTCAGATGCGTCCCAAGCAACGCTTAACATATTATGGCTCTACCTTACGTGAACATTTAAATCCTTTCTGAATTTATTTTTCATCCTGTTCCATCTTGGAGTCAAGTTCTTCACGCTTACTATCTACCATGCAAAGCTTGGCATGCCACCCTCTCATTTGTCATCCTCAGAATCCTAGATGACCGAGTTTTAAGGGGCTCTCTCCTCTTCTAACTTTTGAAATTTGACAAACAAATCCAAGTTCGTCATCAGCTTTTGATCTCCACTCAGGAGGAGTTGGATTAAATGACCTCTAAGGTCCCTTCCACTTCAGAATCTATATGATCCGGTGATCCCAAGCCATTCCCCCTCTCTAGGCCTCAGTTTCCTTCCCTGGAAAATGACTGGGCCAAACTGGCTGGCCTCTGAGGTCCCTTCTAGCTCTTTATCTACAAGGTTTTCCAAGCTGAGGGAGTCTCTATTTTCTCCTACTTTGTCCTCATAAGGAAGCATCAGCATTTGATAGGCATATGGTATGTGTTTGCTTATAAAGTATTTGTGGCATTACTATAATTCCTAGGGCTAGCACATCATTTTGAGTAATCACCAGTGTCTTATAAATGTTAAATAATTGTTGAGGGGGGAGGGAGGGGGAGGGGGAGTTTGGAGAACTGAAAACTATCACCTCTCCAGAAGGTTCTCTGTCTATATACTGTCAGAATGATATGTTGCCATAAAGGCCACAGTTCCCCAAGTGTTCAGGCACAGATTTCCTGATTCTAAGGCCTTGCATAGAAAGGGGGGGGAAATTCCATTGTTTTAATAAGGATTCCAGCTATCTTTAGAAAGGATCTAAGCCGGGCAGGGGAGAGGATTCTAGCTTTTGGCTTCCTGAGGAAAGGGGGGGAAGGCCCCACTCCAGGGTATGCCTCAAGATTAGAAGGGAGTTCGTAAGTTTCCTCGCGTCTTTTCTAAGGAATGCTACAGGTAAACCACGGCCTAAAAATTGCCTTCTAAAGAGGTACCCACTAGTGTTGGCTATGCACATGGCACGCGCTCCCCCTCGTGGACAACGAAATTGGACAGAGAAGCGCAGCGAGCCGAGGCGAGGACCTTGTTTCCAGATCGTGTTCTTCCCTAGACAGCATTAGCCTCTGGCAGGCTGTTTCTAAAAGAAAATTCTCAGGTGACAGAATTCGCACCTGTTGCGCATTTCACTGGGCACCCAAGGCCCTGCGTGAAGACAACCCGGCTTCCCCAGCTCGTCCCCAGGAGAGCCTGGGGAAATCGGCCGAGATCAGCAGGTCAGCATCTGTGCCTCCTTCACTGACCAGCGTTTCCTGGTCTGAGAATGGCCTTCATTCTTCTCCCTCCCCTAGCCTCAGTTTCCTCCTCTGTAAAGTGAGGGAGTATGGATTCAGTGAGCTCCGAGGTCGCCTCCAGCCAGAGCGCTCTGCTCCTGGGGTCTTCCCCAACAAGAACCCCTGCCTCTCTTTCCCGGAGAGCGCTCAGGCAGCCCCGCGATGCCCATTGCCTGGGTCCGAGGGCTGGTTCCCAAGGTACGCCTGCCTCCTTCCTACTGGTGGGGTCTAAATTCCACGGCGTGTCAACGACGCGGGGGTAAATGGACTAAAAGGTGCCTGGGAAGGTGGGAGGAAAGCAGGGAGACAGGGGAGCAGTCCAGCCCCGGAAAGGTGCCGCAGCCGCGGCGCTCTGGCCGCCCCCAAGCCCGGACAGGGGCAGTGCTCTCCCCCAGCCCACTCACCGGCGGTTCGCGTAGCCGCTGCCCGGAGGTGCGGGGCCGTGCTCCTGGTAGTTGTGCTGCAGGGCTGCGGACTGGTACGGGTAAAGGAAGCCGGTGCCCACAGTACAGCCGTAGAGGCAGCACGCCCAGGGGAGGAAGAGGGCAGCTTCATCGCGGGCAGGGAGCCGGTGTCCCGCACGAATCAGCCTGCCCACTAAAGACTCGCCCCTCGGCGCCCCGCTCCGCTGAACTGGGGAGACATGGGGAGCCTCGGAGACCTGGGGAGGGAGTGGGGGGCGACGATCCGGCGGGGTACGAGGACGAGCGGCTCGGCGCCTCTGGGCCACGGGTCTCGACTCCAGGCAGAGATGCCCGACGCTGTTCTGAGTGCCCACGCGGCCGGGATCGGGCTCCGGACCCGCCTTTTCAAATTCGGGGAGGTGGGCTGCGCTCAGTCCGTCAAAAGGGGCGTGGGGTTTCTCCATTAACCCTCGGAGGCCCGGGAGCCAGCGGTGCGCAGGTGGGCGGGGACCCCGGAGGGAGGCGGCCCCACTACCACATGCCTCAGCGGCTCCCTTCTGACCCCGTGCGCTCCAGACTAGCTTGGCAAAGGGGCCGCACCCCGGATTTCTCCCCAACCTCGTAGATAAAGAGCTAGAAGGGACCTTAGAGGCCAGCCAGTCCGGCCCAGTCATTTTCCAGGCAGGGAAACTGAGGCCTAGAGAGAGGGAACGGCTTAGAATCACGGAATCACATAGATTCCGGGCTGGAAGGACCGTAGAAGTCATTTAGTCCTACTCCCTCATTTTCCAGGTGTGGAAATTAAGCCCAGAGCAGGGAACGACTTTCCCAAAGTCACACCGAGCCACAAATTGAACTCGGGTCCTCTATCTCTATCGCCATTTGGAGGAGGTCCTTCTCTCCTACATTTTACTCTTTTTTAGCTGGTGCTCTTGGAATGTCCCGGAGCAAACCTCAAGCACCCCCTCCTTCACACAGAGTGGAATCTAAGGCCGGGAACACGCAGGTGACTTTTACCCAGTTACTCAGAGTTTGCAACCCCATGGCAACAAAAGCCTGGTCTTCGACTCCTACCAGGCAGGGCGAATTCCACTTTAGGTCTCCACTGGCGGAGGTAGAAGGAGTGGAGTACTGGGCCCTGAAGAGGTAGGAATTTCCTTCTGTTTTAGCCCTCCCCCCTTTTACCCAGGACTTCCCTTGAGAGCTGAGAGTTGGACACACTCCTGTCCTGCCCCAGAGCCAGACTTTTTGTGATTAAACGCAAGGTGTGCAGTAGATGGAAGTAAGAAAACAGCCGCTAGGAAAAGAGCTGTAGGGTCTCATGTTCTGCCCTTGGCCTGACAGATCAACCTGGGATTTGGGGGGATCACAGGCCTAGAGACAGAGAGGCCCTCCAAGGCGGTCCACTCCACTTTGTTCTTTTTATGAAGCCCCAAGCCCGTCGGTGTAGGACTCCTTATTGGTGGAGGGCGAGGGGCAGGGTGGGAGGTGTGACGCAGTCCTCTTCCGGACTCTCCAAGCTTCAAAACTTCGTGACTCCAAGCTTTGCCACTTCTGGCTTCCAGAGGGAAGATGGAAGAGGTCAGCCCACTTCTGGTTACTGAAGGAAAAGACTGGGAAAACATCATGTCCTTATTCCCAGTTTGCTACATGAGAGACCAGGGCAAGTTTTCTACTTGAGGGAGACCTAGGATGCCCTGTCTTGGTTGAGCCGAGGCATCTTGCTCCAAATGGCGAGTTCCTTCACTCAGTATTGACCGACATGTAGCCTACTGTGTAGATCTCCAAGTTCTCTTTTGCTATCTGTCTAAATCAGTTTCTTTGCTATTCACTATGTTCGTGGAACTGGTATTTAATGGGTAAGGTGTCAAGCCTTAGCTATAGAACTTGGAGTCCTTCTTTTTCCCCAAAATAATAAAACTATCAGAAGTTTGCTGGAACCAGTCATATGCCCTAGACTAATAGTATTAAAAGGAGCAGGTAGATAAGCTTCTATTTCAGTAACCCCTCTTTGAGGGAGAGCAGAACGGCCTCCAGCCCCAACTTTCTCCTTCCCCTCCTGGAAGGACTGAAAATCTCCCTTATTGAAGGAGGAGAGAAGAGGCCAGAGATGTCTCTTCTGCCTCCCTCTGAGCCCTTGCCACAAGAGGGCCTCTCGACATGTGCGGGGCCCATGAGGGGAAGGCTCTCTCTCCCCTATACTTGGGATTGTCCCCTACACAGAGATGAGGAAAGACACTTTATGCCCAGAGATTCCAACTACTTGCCCAGAGTCACACAGGTAGTTAGTGACAGAGGCCAGGTCCTCCAAGGAATGGTGATCAATCTGCTGGATTCCACCCTATACTCTTCCTCCAAACATTTTCAATCTCTACGTGGGTATTTTTTTTTTTTGCTTTTAGGCAATTGGGGTTAAGTGACTTGCCCAAGGTCACACAGCTAGTAAGTGTCAAGTGTTGGGACTGAGGCCGGATTTGAACTCAGGTCCTCCTGACTTCAGGGCCGGTGCTCTATCCACTGCGCCACCTAGCTGCCCCTCCTACCTGGGTATTTTAAAAATGTAACAGCAAACTTCATTGCATGTTAATTCTTCATCTAATCATAGATACTATGCTTGATAACCTGCAATAGGGCCTCCAGCCTTTGAAGGCCCAAGAGATTTGGAGCAGACGTGGTAGATCACGGGAGCATTTTAAGTGCCTTCCCCCAGGTGCATGTGAACTGTGCCCCTTCTGGCTGTTGGCCAAGCCCCAATAAATGAGGGATTAATTCTCCCGAAGTAATTTTGTATGAATTAAGGTTTCCACTTTTCCTTGTTTTGTTTGCCTAGTAAGATCAGCTAACTGAGAAGTGGCATTACATTGTAGTGTAACAAATAGGAAGGGAACAGGAGGTTAGCTGCCATCCCAGACTCCTTTTTTCCTATGCCATCAATTCTTCCTGAGCCAGAGGAACAGAGCAGTTGAAGAAAGGCAAGGATGATGCAGACGGTATGTATGCAGTGGGCCCCAACCTCACCCCACCCCACCCACTCCACCTCCATCCCCACCGTCCATGCCCTCACCCTCTGCCTATGCCACCCATAAGCCTCACACCGAGGAGCCACTCCATCACTCAAGGGCCAATGAATGCTAGCCCTGTCCTATCAAAGAGGACACTGGGAGTCTGGCAGAGCGAGGGCAGAGTCACTCTCCCAAACTCTCCTTCAGTAAACAGTCACTGATTTTGTGAGCTGCTCACACACACACACACACACACACACACACACACAGAGTCAGGCTCAGTGGTGCCAAGGGAGCTGCCCATGACTGTCCCCAGGGTTTGGATCCTTGCCTCCCACAGAAGCTCCTGGCTGCATCCTCACCACCTTTAATTTCATTCAAGCTTGCATTTTAGTCTAAAATCATTATACTCACATGGAATCACAGCAGCCAATGGAAAGAGTGGATCCCCTGGGCTCCTCTCACTCCATTTAACAAATCACTTATTCCTCTTTGAGTCTCCATTTCCCTGTCAGAGAACTGAGAAAAATAACATGCTCCATACATACCCATGTCATCATGTTGGTAGAAAAAATGACATAGACATGTGGAGGGTTTGAAAGTGCTTTGACAAAAAGGTTCTTCTAAGTATAAAGTATATTGGTTGAGAAAGGAAAATGCCAAATATCCAGGAGCCCTAGCATCAGTGATAATTCTATATCTCTGTCTCTTTGTTTTGATTTGTAGGGTGCTGGCAAATGGGTCTTGAAACTTTCCAGCTGATAAGAAAAGCTGGAGCATCCTATTCAGTCGACAAAAAACCAGAGATTAGCTTTTGCTGAAGTCAGCATCAAGATTCATTGAACAGAGAAGTAAATACTCACCAAGTTGAAGCCAAGGTAAACATTGACCTTCTAGCATAATAAATTCTCCTGGTAATCTAAAACAGAAGTCCCTCCCCCCTCCCCTCTCGGGATTGCCCTGTGCAGCACGATTCAGTAACACCACTGGCTAGGGGGGCAAAAAAGGGAGGAATGGGCATTTGGTCAGAACCCTTCCCCCCAGACCCTCTCGCCCCCTTCACGATGCCCCAACTCCTATCATGGATCAGAGGTCACAGCAAAATCTCTCAACAGTAAAAGAAAAAAGAGTTGAACAACTTAAAGGATTTTTGTTCTAATGGAATGTGTCCCAAGCTTTCTTTCCTTGAGCAGGGGATATGGTACATGTACAGTCTGGTTCTCAAGTTTTGCTCCTTTAGCTGGACACAAAAGCCCTGAGTGATTTTCTCATTATGTCCCCAAGTGCACCAAAGCTTAAGTGCTTCTCAGAACTACACTAGTGAATTTTACATGCAGCACCAGCCCAGGATGCAGCTTCATTAGTTTTACCTGCCCTGGCAGTCAAACTTGATGTTTGCCACAACAAGGCAGTATTTCAAACAGTGGAAGTTTGAGAAGAAAATTGTGTACACACACACACACTCTTTCTGTAGAATAGATAAAAGGGGGAGAGGGGAGGGGCACACTGTGAACTGTTAATGGTTGACTTGGGAGACTTACTTGGGGGCTTCACATCAGAGAGGAGCCTTTTGGACCTCAGGTTCCTAACACGAGCACTACTCTTTTCTCTCCCTTTCCCTCTTGCCCACCTCCCTCCCACGCTCACTCTCTTTTCCTCCCTCCTTTCCTCCTTCTTCTCCCCCTCAATCTCTTTCTCTCTGTTCCTCTGCTTTTGACTGTCTGTCTTTGTTCCAATCTCTCTATCCTCTCTCTCTTCCTCCTTCTCTCATTCAATCTCTCTTTATCTCTGCCTGTGACTCTCTGTGGCTCTTTCACTCCTCTCTAGCTCTCTTTTACTCACTCCCCCTCTTTCTTCCTCTCTTCCTCCTCCCTTCTTCTTCTCCTCCTCCTTCTCCTTCATTTCTCTCTGTCTCTCTCCCTCTCTCTCTGTCTCTGTCTGTCTGTCTGTCTGTCTCTCTCTGTCTCTCTCTCTCTGTCTCTCTCTCTCTGTCTCTCTCTCTCTCTGTCTCTGTCTCTCTCTCTCTCTCTCTCTCTCTCTCTCTCTCTCTCTCTCTCTCTCTCTCTCTCTCTCTCTCTCTCTCTCTCTCTCTCTCTCTCCCACATACTCCAAGTGGCAGGAGCTCTCAGACTCTAGCATTCTCATGAGAGCATAGCTGTTTGCCCATGCTGTTTCCCTTTAGTATCCCCTTCAGGGCTGGCATCCCTGGTTTTGCCTTTCTGTATAACCCTGGCACACTCAATCTGTCTGACACTGAATGCCACTTTCCTTACCAGGTGTCACTCTGCCTTCTCCTGGTTTTTGATGTGTCTTTATCTCCAGCACCTAGAACAATGCCTTACACAAAGGAGATGCTTAATAAATGCTTGTTAGGTTTTTTTAAGTTGAAAAAATTGTCAAAGATGACCAAAAATGAGAATACTCAAAGCTGAGGGGTTGTAGGAAGATGGGCACACCAATGGCTGAAGCTGGAGTTGTGAACTGGTCCAGCCATGGTAGAAAGCAATTTAAAATTCTGCAAAGAAAGTGATTCAGATGCCCACAGTATTGGACCAGAGATCCCTCTGCGAGGCATATACCCGAAGGAGACAGTGATGAAAATAAAGGCCCTACATGCACAGAAAGAAAGATTGCTGGCGGTAATTTTTGTGGTGGCAAAGAAGTGGAAACAAAATAGATGCTATCCATTGGGAAATATCTGAATAAACTGTGGTACATGAATGCAACGGAATATTGCTGAATCATAAGAAATTATGAACGTGAAGAATTCAGGGAAACATGGGAAGACTTTTATGTGAAAAAGCAAACCCAGAAAATAATATTCACAATTGTAATAGTAATGGAAATGGGAAGGACAACAGCAACTAAAACTGCACCGAGCTTGTCCCCAGAGAAGAGCTGTGAGAAGGTGGCTCTCTCTTCTTTGCAGAGGTGAAGATTATAGGTATGAAACCTGCAGATAACCAGAGCTTTTCTTCCTTTTTTTTATTCTTTGTTAGGAGGAATAGCTGTCTAAGGACTATGAGGAGGGACGTACTGGAAAATGTAGGTAATGCAAAAAGAAAATATATCAGTGAAACTTATCTTAAGAAAACAAAAAAGGGCTGAAGACCAATGAAGTAGAGATCCTAAAGCTAAATATCATGCCACGTCCAAAATGGACAACCCTACTGAGACAAGGAACGGTTTATCCATTTATTCATGTAGTTATGGTGAAACCAGCACTTTTCCAAGTACTTAAAAATGAATGACTTGATAATGAATTGTACAGGGGGAGAAAGTTATATAATAAAGAAGAGTTAAATAGAAGAAGGATACCAGAATTATAAGCAGGTTTAGAGATCCAAGATGGAGGCAAAAGGGCAGTTAAATGGTAGGTCTAGCCAAAAACTCACCCACTGTATCCACAAGTTATCCCACATCCAATAGGATAAAATATTGTAATATCTTGACCTTTCTACTACAGTTTATATATCAAAAGCTGGCAGGTCCTTTTCTAATTGGTAAAGATTTCTTATTACCAGCATACGTATAGAAATAGGGACCATGCGTATGAGCGCTGCAGACCACTAGAATGTTGCCGGTGCCAGCTACCCAGAAGTGACCATTCTGAAGTTTCTGGGATTCAAATATGTAGGTTTTAAGAGAGACAAATTAGTTTGCACAAGTGGACTAAATTAAAGGGCAAAATCCCAAAACCTTAAGTACTGAATTCCGTAGGTCACTCAATCTTGTGAACATCCCAAATGTAAAACTAGATGACATATCACAAAATAATCTGCCTCATCTAGGCAGAAGCAATGCGAAGTAGCAGCAGCACCAGACGTCTCCTTTCCACTGGTTCTCAGAGACTAACCTATCTGCCTTCATGATAAAAGAAAGGGTCCCAAACACAGCATGTCCCACATTCATTACTGTAGCCCTGTCTCTTCTTCAGGCCCACACCTGCACCTCTGTTATATATGCCTTGACATGTTTCATAGCCACCTCTGTGGACAGTAGTGGTGGAACTGCCTTTCACATCCTGTAATTAAGTAAAAATGGTTGTCAAAGGTGAAAAAGTAAAGTATGTTTTATGGTGAGTAAAGTTGATATTCATATAGGATGGGAGAAAAAAATTCACTACCTATTTCTGGATTTTTTTCTCTGATTTCTATAACCTAAAATTTAAAGTACACAAGGACTTTATGAAACCCTTCATGTACGTAGATTCTAGCATACAATGGCCACACCAGCTATATTAAATACTCATCAATAAACTTGGTCCGTAGATTGCCATAGCCAAAAAGCTCATCATTAAGAAATAAACCTCTCCATACTTGGCTGGGCTGGTCCTCAGAAAGCAAACATAATTGATTACAGGGATCATTATTAGTACTTGAAAGTGGATCACTATATATGTAATTATCTTATAAATCTCAGGCAACTAACACTGCTATCAGTGGTCACTATGGTAGTCTTATCTAAGTAAAACAACTTGGCCAGGGTTCTCACATCTGTTGTTGAAAAAGGATGTGCTTTTCTGAACAATGCGGTTGCAGAAAGGAGAAAACATACTTCCTACAGGCTTTCCCCTGGACCACATCAGTGTGTTTTCATGTTGATACTAGGATACAGCAGAAAGAAAACAACAGTGTTGTTTCACTTGATAAAACCTTACAGCAATTTAGTATTATGAAATGTTCGTTTGAAGTTAAAACAACTTCTAGATAAGCCTTCCATTTAGAAGGGGAAAAGAGATAAAGCTATCTCAATGGAACAGGGATTTGTTTTAGTCATTGATTAAGAAAGAGAAAGTCCACTGAAGTTACCTTTGATTGATAAACTGCATGGCTGTAGAATTAAAGATTTGAGGTGATATCCATGGTAAAATGAGTTAGCAAAGTGTGAAGATTATGAAACTAACTATTAGGAAAGAGGCTTGGGTTTGTATCTAACACTGCATCATATCAATGGATTTGTGACTGCCTCAGTGTGGGTATTCCCTTCATCAGTGCAGACCATCTAGCTATGTCTTCTTTTCCTGTGATCTCCCCAGTAGTATATCGGGTAGATAGTATATCTCCTAAAAGACCTTCCTTTAAGACAGGCCTGTGTGTCCTGGATCCCTATAGCAATTTGGTGAAGCCTATGGCAATTAGGTGATCCTGGACCTGGAGCACTGGACCTGGAGTCAGGATGCTCTGAGTTCAAATCTAGACTCAGACACTGATTAGCAAAGGTGGTGATGGACCTCTTCTCTGAATATTCTTTTTAAATTCATAAAATTAAATATTCAAGATTACCAATGGAACCAATTATATTGAAATAAAATGTAATTTTTCCTATCTAAGTTCAGGGACTCTGAAATCTATCCATATTCCCCTGCATGGCATCAGGGAGGTTGGGGGATCTCTGATCTCCAGACCCCAAGTCAAGAATTCTTTCCTTGGGCTTTTTACATTAAATGTGTCTGTCTTTTATCCGTTATTCTTTCTATATGACTAGCTCATCTCCTTTTGGGCCTACAGAAGCAAAACAAGTGGTCATTTTGGTCAGATAACCAGTCAATTCCATGTTGAAAAAACCATTAAACCATTTGTTTTAAAGCACTTCCTAGTTGTCTAGTTAAATGATACCATTGGCTGAACTACACAGACACAATCTGGGGCTCGGTACCCAAAAGCAATCCTCTGGAGGGCACAAAAAGCCCTCAGGATGGGCCACATGTATCCTTCATATAGAAGGTACCCTCAGTGACATGTCCCTGGCCTTCGTGGGCCTTGCTAGGCCAACTATTTACTGAACCTCATGAAAGTCCCCTCAAAAGCCAAGACTTTGCAGGCCGACAGCAGAAAAAGGAGAAGAGCGCAGCCAAGCTCCCTACAGACTCCCAGCAGTTCCCTGGCTGCCAGTCCCTGTGCCCGCTACCTCTGATGTCCACGAGTTCTGCACGGAGGAAGCAGATTTAGATCTGAAAAGCAGGTACATTGTAAAACACCTGCCTAGCGGGTAGAACAGGTAGAAGACATACCTGGGAAAGAGGGCCTTAACTTTTACAGGGAAAATAAACTAAGAAAAGCTTATGTAGGGACAAAAAGAAAACAGCTCCGTGCCTATACATCTTTGCAAAATGATCAGGACGAGAGAACAGTGTGCTTATTTCTATCTTATCCAGCCGTACCCCCTATAAAGTTGTCCTGACCAGAGCTTCACAGTATCTTCATCAATACCAAAGCCCGCCTTAAAGCTACAAACCCATACCAGGAACATCAGGCAGCTGATCTCATTCCTAACATTGGTCCCTTGCATCTAAGGGCCCCCTGTGGCGCCCAGAGTAATGCTTTGGTGAAACCAGTGTTAGGTGGAGCGTGCCTGTATTATTGTGTGCCTGTTTATGTGTGTGACTCTTTCCCTCCAGCTAGAATGCCAACTCTTGGGCAAGGCCTGATTAGTTCTATAAATGAATGAATGAATCAGTAAATGTCTCCGGATGCTCTCCCATTTCATCTCTGATTCTTAGTAATCCCTGGCTTCCTTTACTGCTCAGCTCAAGCACCACTCCCCTCGGTGGGCTCCCCTTGCCCCCGACCCCCAGCCCAGCTCCTAGTGCCTGCTCTTCTGGAGGCATCTTCCATCTTGCGTCTGGAACAGATCTCATTATGTATAGGTGTGTCCTCTGTTAGAGTGGGAACTCCTACAGCAGGTTCCCCACCCCTGGCCTAAAGAGTAAGGAGTGATTTGTTTTGCTTTTTCTTTGTATTCCCAGCACTTTGCGTGGCACCTGGGACACTGTGAGAACTTCATAAATATTGATTGATTGATTGATTGATGAATTGGCTGGTCAAATTCATTTATATGAAGCAGCCTATCTCTTCATCCCCAATCTGGGCCTTTCTTCAGTATTTTTGGGGGTCTCCTTTAGCAAGCTGTTGACTTGTTTTTCATGATTTTCTTGCATCACTCTCCTTTCTCTTCCCAGTTTTTCCTCTGCTTCTCTTACTTGCTTCTCAAAATCCCTTTTGAGCTCTTCTAAGGCCTGGGACGGATTCATATTTTTCTTGGAGGCTTTGGATATGGGAGCTTTGACTTTGTTGTCTTCTGGTTGTACGTTTTGATATTCTTTGTCACCAAAGTAAGATAATATAGTCTGACTCTTTTTGTGAGGTTTGTTCACGATCCCAGCCAATTACTTGAGTTTTAAACTCTTTGTTAAGGTGAGAGTCTCCTTCCAATGTGGAGACTTCAGGGGTTTGTATAGCTGTTTTCAGAGATACTTGTAGGGACCTGCAAATTTGCAGTTCTTCCAAGGTGGTATGATAAGGGGCAAGGTGTTTACTCTTTTCCTGGCCTTAGCTCTGGTCTTTGAGTGACTGGCCACAAGCAGTCTTTTCTCTCTTGGAACCGTGAGGAGGGTTTCCTCTCTACCACCACTTCAAGCTCCACCACGCCAGTGCTCCTCCTCACCCCAGGACTGCCACCTAGAACTGTGACCCAGATCCAAGCAGGGGCAAAGCAAGAGATTCCTGCCTCAGCACCAACAAAGGGATCCCTGCAGTCCCCCTCTGATCAGCCACTTGATTCCCCCTCAGTCAGTGGGCCAGAAGCTCAGGACGCAGCCACCACCCCGGCGCCCGTGCTCTGCGCTCCGTGCTCTGGAGCTGGCTCTGACCTAGCTCCTCTCTCAGCACTACAGAAACAGACTTTTCCCACTGACCTCCTAAGTTGTCTTTGGCGTTCGTGTATTGAGAAGTCTGGAAACCACCACAGCTGCCTGTGATTCATTCCTCTGAGGCCTGCTCCAGGTTCGCTGTGGCCTGCGTGCCCATGCCAAACTGCACTCTTCTACCTGCACGGTGCAATATGCCTTTCCGATCAACCATCCAGGTTGTCTTGGGCTGGAAATTTGTTTCACTTTGTCTTTTGTGGGATTCTGCTGCTTTAGAATTTGGTTAGAGCCATTTTTTTACAGGTATTTGGAGAGGTTTGTGGGAGAGCTCAAGCAAGTCACTGCTTTCACGCAGCCATCTTGGCTCCACCCCCGATCAGGGTCTTTCGATCAGGCCTGTATATGGCCTGGTTTTCTCCCACACCCCCTTCAACTTCCCCCATTTACTTCAGTCAGAATCTGGTGTTAATTTGAGAAAAGTTACAAGTACAACAACCCATGAGAAAGCATTCTAGAAGCATGGGCTTTTAGTGCTGTGAGGGAACCTTCAAAATTATTTACCCCACTAAGACCCAAGGAAGAGGTTAAATGATTTGCCCAGCAAATCACAGCCAAACTGGGACCAAGTGTCCTGATTCTCAGTGCAGCTGAGCCAAAATATGGAAAGTTTAGATTGTCCAATTCCAGTGCCAGTCAAGCCATTCTGACTTATCTGCATCCACAGTGCCGTCTAAAGAATGGCAAAAGGTAACCCATGTGGAAGAAGCATAGCGGGGCCCAGGGATCTCTACAGGTCTCCAAGCCCTTTGCAGGGGTCCATGAGGCCAAAGCTATATTCATAAAAATATTAAAGTATTTTCATTTCTAATATGGTAAATATTGATATATATAACCCACATGAATGAAAGCTCTTTGGGGGGGGGTCATTAATAATTTCTAAGACTGTAAAAGGGTCCCGTGATCAAAAAATTTGAGAACCACTGGTACAGTGAAAAGAGTCCTGAATTAAAAGTCAAGGAAACCTGGGTGTAAACCTGGTTCTATCACTGGCCTGCTGCGTAACCTTGAAGAAGTTGTTTTACCTCACTGAACCTCAACATCATCCTTAGTAAAATAAAGACTAAAATATATTTAAGGTTCCTTCCATCTTTTAATTTCTATTATTCTGTTTTGTAAGTTATTTACAGTAGATAGTGGTAAGATCATTATAACTAGGTAGACGTGATCTATGTTGATTAGCATCAATTTTAATTATCTCTTTGGAGTGTCTGAGGTCTAGTTCAAGTCCCAGTAGGGTACAATGGAAAGAGAACTGGTTCTGGCATCAAAGGGCCTGGGTTCAAGTCTTGCCCCCAATGTTTACTACCTGGTGACCTTGGGGAAGTAACTAAACCTTTCTAGACTCTCAGTTTCCTCATTTGAAAAATGAAGAAATTAGACTAAATGACCTCCGAGGAATCCTCTGGCCCTAAATTCATGATTCTATGGCATCGATTTTGCTTTGGCCCAAAGCAAAGGCTTAGTTAAGTGAACATTTCATCTAGATATTCAGAAAAGATCTATTTGCCATGCTTCTCCAATAAAGGCCTTCTCTAGACTAGATAAGAAATACAAATGACAACCAGTCAAACTCAAATGGCCACATTGGCTAAAGTAGATGACCAATATGGAGACCCCTTAAAAAGGTTTAGGGGCTTGTCTAGAAATAGGAAATTTGGCCACAACTCGTCTGGTCTCATTTGCCTCATTTATAAGTGAGAATAACGTATTGGCACGGTTTTCACTCAGCGATGGGCATCATCAATGTCAGTATCTTCTCTCCTCCACAGAGCTCTATCTTTCCCACATCTTCTGTAATCCTGCCTTGAGGCAGACATGGGAAAGCAGGTGAAGACTTCTCCCAGCCATGAAGATGGCTGACGCAGGAGCTGTGGCACACTCAGAGCTTGGTCAGACATTGAAGATGCCCAGGTCATCCCCTGCACCCTGGGCCACCACCAGTCGTCTTGACTCTGGTCCTTCCACTGGACTTCAGTGACTCTGAAGGAGTAAGGCTGATAACTTTATGCAGCTCTGCTTTGCTTAAATCCAATTCACACACAAGTCAAGACATCAGCCCATGATGTCACCGGTCGTCTTCAAAAGCAAAGGACGAACAACAAACAATAATCCTGGCTAAAAACATTCTTGTTCCCTGCTTCACTGGTTCTCTTCGCATGGTAACTTTTTCCATATGAAGACTATGGAGTGCATAAAACAGTTTAGCCAGAACTCTCCCGTTTAGTTTTCACATGCTCCTAATTTTCAAATTAAGTTCTCTTGTTTTCATAGTTTTCATAAAGAAACAATTTGATTAATCCCCTTCCACATTTCAAAAACTCTCAGTTGGGTCACTGGAAGATCCCTTTCAAATAAGAGGTTGCCAAACTTCCTCAGCCTTTCTTCACAACTTACAGATGAAGGGAGTGATTTTATCTTCCTTCTTGATGTCTTGTTTCCTCAGGGACAATCCTGTTCTTCCAACAATAAACAGTGCCAAGTACAGGGTATTCGATGAGGTCTTACCAATGTCCCGTGTAATGGTCATATCGCATCTTTTGATTTATAGTCTGTTCCTCTGGTAATGTAGCCCAGCATCCTGTTCAACTTTCTCACTACATCTGTGCATTAGACTGAAAGCTTTGGGGGGGGGCACTTAAAGAAACATTTTCCAGACATATTAATCCACATTTATATGCATTTACCCTTTGCAGAGCAAGATATTTAACAAAAGTCATATTACATGTGATTGCACTGTGTAGTATAATCAAATCACTTCCTGGCTCATTCTTTGGTATAATTTGTAATGATCTTAAAGTCTTACTTTCTAACAGTATCCAGATCTCTCATGCAAATGAAGAAAAGCTGACCTACAGGGCTATGCTAGAAATAAGGCTTATGACTATGCGTACCTAATACTTTTTCTTTTGAATAGAATTGACCCCTAGTTTGGGGTTTTTTTTCTTTTTTCCCCTTCAAGCAACTAGTCATTTGAGTTGACTCAGTCAGTTGGTAGGCACCACGGATACAAAGTCCAAAGAGGCCTGTATCTCCAAAGACAGTAAGCACATGAATGTTACTCCAGGTCCTGAACTGCTATCAGATGGTTTACAGAGGGATGGAGGAAGGCAAAAGCAGGGAAATAGAACTTTGCAAGTTGGAACGGTTGACTCCCTTTCTCCTGATGAAAGTAACAGGAAACCCAAGTTCTGCTCTCCATTCTGTCATGCACAGACATGACTTCCAGGCTCTCTTCAGTGAGGATAACCATACTCCCTCTACAAGCTGCTACAAAGATTGATTAGATAATGGTTGCAAAGTCTTTTGAAGACAAGTGCTGTAGAAACACCCTGTGTTTATAATGATCTGTTTTTCCATTAATTTTAGCATGGTTGACCGGACCATCATCTAATCTGCTCAGTGTATGTGAGCAGCTGACTCCAAAAGGGTTGTTTTTCTAACTTGTAGGTGAGAGCTTTGTTTATCCAAATGTTTCTCTTAATGATATTCCATAATATATGCTGAATCACCCATTACTTTTCCAAACCCTTGCAAGGCACACCTTCCTGTAGCCTTGAAATGCAGACAAAAAATTAAAAGATTTTTAAAATACACAAAAAATAGGTCCATGAAACTTTTATATAAAATGTGTTTTTGATAGAAAAGAGATCAGCAATACGTTTTTAAAGACCAGTCAATCAATCAAGTATACACTAAGCACTAATTATGTGCCAGGAGCAGGAGACACAAAGAAAAAGCAAAAATAGTTTCTGCCCTCAGGGAGCTTACATTCTAATGGGGAGAAATGATGTATAAATACATAAGTATATACAAGATACATATAAAGTAAATGAAAGGCAGCAAGTCTCAGTTGTGGTATGGCAGGGAGTGGCATAGTGGATAGAGTGCCAGGCCTGGAGTCAGGAAGACCTGAGGTCAAGTCTGACCTCAGATACCTACTAAGCTGTGTGACCAGGGCAATTCACTTCACTCTGTTTGCCTCAATTCCTCATCTGTCAAATGAACTGGAGAAGGAAATGGCCAACCACTCCAGCATCTTTTCCAAGAAAACCCCAAGGGGGTCATGAAGAGTAGGAATGACTCCTAGGAACATTATTTTTATATCTAAGTCTGAACATAAAAATTGAACAGATATATAGATGTATATGTGAATATTGCCATATCTTTATATACAGATGTAACTCAGTAGATGCATAATCACATGCATCTACATCTTTTAAGGAAGTGATACATCCTAGAACTTAATGGAATATTTCAGATTTAAATATTTCTTTTCCCAGCCAAGAGACATCAGTTTGGAAACGTTTTAAGTTAGTTTTGGGAGCTATAGAGGAAAGTTGGTATATAAGTGTCAGGGTGTTATAATAATAAATTTATATTTAATTAAGAAAAATATCCCTCACCAAAGAAAAACTGTTAGAAAGGAGCTTAAACTACACCGTGAACTTTAATCCAAAACAGCTGGTAAGACTACCATACATTTTTGAAAGCCTCCTTTTTCAGAATGTCTCATTCCTATTTTGTTCAGGCACTCCATTACTTCAACAGACCTGTGTGTGGATACTGTTGCTGCTGATAGGGATCTTGTCCATCCGTGCTTCCTCACTGTGTGTGATTCTGGTCTGATTCCTTCCACAAACTCTCCATAGAAGGTGTCGCCAGCATAGCAGAAGCCTCAGGATGAGTTTTCCAAGGTTTCAGAGATATCCAGGCCAATCCAAACTGTGTGTTTCTTTTCACTGACTTTTTTCATTTTAATTTTTCGCATTCTGGACTTGACAAATACCAACAACTTGAACATTTCCATATGCGAAGAAGCGAAGGGAGGACTGCACAGGAAACCACAAACTGTCACTTTGTCCTGTTTCTCTTTTAAAAAGTGGGTCTCATTTGTACATAGTGGTTTGCAGGTTGTCTCCCTCATTAGACTGTGACTCCTTGAGGGCAGGACCTGTCTGGTCTTTCTTCGCATCCCAGCACTTCACACAGTGCCTGGCAGCCACCCACCTGCCCCATGGTGGGCCCTTAATTCATATTTACTAACTGACTGCTTGTATTTTTTTTAAACCCAGAAGCTCTAGATTTGGGCTGTGACATTCCTGGGACTTTTCACTCGGGGGATTCTTTTAGGAGGTGACCGATGCCTCTTTCTAGTTTAACTTTGCCCTCTACTTTTGATAGTTTTCAGTCCGTGATTTCTTGAACTATAACACCCAGTCTTGTATGATCAGGGTTTTCAGGGATTCTGATGACTTAGATTATTTCTCCTTGCCCTGTTTTACAGGTCAGTGGCTTTGACAGCAAATCTCTTACATTTGCTTCTATTTTTCATTCTTTTGCTTTTGCTCTAACATTTCTTGTTTCATAGAGTCACTGAGTTCTATTTGCTCCTTCCTAATTTTCAGGGAGTCTTTTAAGGAAAGGTTTTCCACTGTCTGTTTCAAGCTATTCATTCTCCCTCGTGTTCATTCCACCAGGGCTCTTAGCTCACTCATAATTTCACTTTTTCTCTCTTGCTTCATTTTTTCCAGGTGCTCATAAAGTCCTCACAGCTGAGTCATTTTCCCTTCAAGGGACATTGTTGACGTCTTCTTCTGGGTTTACCTCTTGTGTGCGTGTCTCTTATTTCTTCATAATAGTTGACGGTTTTTTCTTACATTTGCTCATCACCTGCAGTCTCAATTTCTGGTGTAGGACCTTATGCCAGGGCCAGGCTCTGCCCTCGCACAGCCATACTTACATGGGATGGTCAGCTTCTTTTTGGTCCTACCTCAGTTTCCTGGGTTCATCCCACTGGCTGCTCTGGCATGTCTGCACTCGGAGCACTGGGCTCCAGCTCAGGCCCATGATCTTCTAGGGTCAGATTGCTGCTGTCTTCAGGGCCCACTATAGCATTTCACAGGCTCACAGAAATTGAGATTTGGAAGGGAATTCAAATGTCTGCTATGTCAACAGAAAAGGAATCTCCAGCACAACATACCTGACAAATTGAAGACCTCCAAGGAGGGGGACCCGCCCACCTCCTGAGCCAGCCTAGGCCATTCTGGGACAGACCAAATAGTTTTCCCTGATATCCAGCTTAAATCTCTCTCTTCACAATTTCTACCCATTGCTCCTGGCCTTGACCTCAGGCCAAACAAAACAAATTCAATGGGGAAGAAAATTATCCTGTGTCTGCAGAGTCTTCTTTTCTCCATGATAAACATGCCTAGTTCCTTCAACCAAACCTCCTTTGTATGAACTCAAGGCCCTTCAAAACCCTGGCTGCCTTTTCCTATACGCTCTCTATGGGGTGCTGAGCTGACCACAACCCTCCAGATGCAGTCTGAGGAGGGCAGAGAACAATGACACTGTCACCATCTCACTCCTGGGAATCAGACCCATCCTAACGGTTCGCTGAGGGGCTTGGTGGCCACATCACAAGCCCGACAGTTAGCTCCCAGTCCACTAAAACCTCCCAGGTGTGCTGAGAACAACTGCTCCCCATCCATACCTCTTCCATCTTATACTTACAAAGCTGATTTGTTTGCACCCAAATGCTGTACTTTACATTTATTCCTGTTGAACTGCAGCTTCTGAGACAGGGGGCAGCTCTCCAGCCTGTCAACCTTCTTCTGGATCCTGACTCTGTCCCCCATGGTGTTAGAGCTCCCTTCCAGCTCTGGGCCATCTGCAGATTCAATGAGCCTGCCATCTGCCTTTGTCCAAACCATACAAATAATAAGCAGTACAGGGTCAGCTAAACACAGATACCTGGGGTACTCCACTGGAGACCTCCTGCCATATTGATATTGAACCACTAACAACTCTCTTTGAATCTGCCTATCCAACCAGTTATGAGTCCATCGGACTGTATTATCGTCTAATCCATACTTCTCCATCCTTTCCATAAAAACAGCATGAGAAATATTTTTATCAAAAGACCTATGTAAACTATATCCATAGCATTCCCTTCATATACTAGCTTAAAAATCCTGTCAAAAAAGGAAATAATAACAGTCAATCTGACACAACCTGTTCTTGATGAAACAAACCCTTGTAATCACTTCATCACTTTCTAGATGTTTCCCAGTCATATCCTTAATGATACTATAAATCCACAACACATCTCCTAGTAATAAAAAAACAGAGACTATAGAGGGCCAGTTCAAATTAAAGATTTTATGACTGGGAATCTATATTAAGTCTTTTAAGTAATTTATAGAAAGGATTTGAAATACCTCAATATCATTTCTTTATGTGCTTGTGAGAGATTTTATTGAATGGAGTCACAGAACTAAATATAAAAAAGAGCAGTTAGGTCATCTAGTCCTTTCCTCTGCCAAATGCCATATTGCTCCCTCTGCTTTCTGGAGATTATTTATTAAACTATCTAAAGTAAGCCTTATATAATTTAAAATGAAGGTCATGAAGCAATGTATCTTAATACTTTATAACAAAAATCCCTTTCTTATATAGAACTCATTTCTAAGAAGCTCAGAGTATTTGACTTTTTTCCCCCTTTCCAATGGAGAATCAAGTCAAGTCAACAAGCATATATTGAACACCTTCTTTATGGAAGGCACTGTGCTCAGTTCTGGGGATACCAAGAAAGGTAAAAAAAAAAAACAGTCCTTGTTTCCAAGGAGCTCATGGACTAATGGAAGAAACAGCATGAAAATAACTATGTATAAACAAGATATCAATAGGATAAACTGGAGATAATCAACAGAGGGAAGACACTAACATTAAGGGGGATTGGCAACTTGTTTCTTACAGACTGTAAGATTTTTAGCAGAGTCTTAAGCCAGGGAAGCATATCAAGGGCAGGAAATGGGTCTCTTTTTATCTTTCGATCCCCAGTGATTAGCACAGTGTTCCTACATATGGTAAGCAATTAGTAAATTCTTGCTGATTGATGGATTAATTTGTTTTATATATGTATATGCTTATGTAAGTATATGTTCCTCAGTACCTCACGTACTGACTGGCACATCGTAGGTCCTAAATAAATGCTTGTTGATTGATAGAAACCGGATGAGTCATATAAATAATCATTTTTGCCACTGTGTTCCATCTTGCCCCCAATCCTATACTGACCTCCCTGTCCAATTACCCTAGGGCCAACAAGTGACTTGGATTTATGGATCCTGAATAAACCGCTGGCACCAATCTGGGGCCATCTTTGAGTTGGCTTAAATCCCAGTTCACACCCTTCCCTTCTACAGGAGGTGATTTCCCTGACCAGCCCCAATTCAAGCTCTGAGGCCATTTCATCCATTCTGTTCAACAAATGCCTACTACATATAAGGACTCATGCTAGGCACTGGGGATAAAATGATAAAAAATGAAACAGTCACCCAGTAAGTGTTCAAGGAAGGATTTGAACCTGGCTATTCTTGACTCTGGGCAGCTAGGTGGTGCTGCAGTAGACAGAATGCTGGGCCTGGAGTCAGGAAGATTCACTGTTGGAAGGACTGGTGAGACATGATTGGGCTGAACACTTCAAAGAGTAACCCTTTTTTAAAAATATATACATTTATATCTTTTATTTTTATATCCTTTCCATTTCCTAGTGTATTCTTCTATCCCACACAATTCAGAGAACTATTCCTCTAACAAAAAGAACAAAAAAGGAAGAAAAAACAAGCAGTTCAGGAAAACCACCCAACACATCAACTAAGTCTGAGAATATATGCAATATTCCACATCCGTGGTTCCCCCACCTCTGCAAAAGAGGGCAGAGAGTAGCTCTTACAATGGTTTTATTCTTTGCCTTTGTGCAATAAATATGTGTGCAGACACCATGAGGACTGCCTGTGGGATGAGATGCGATAAAAGAGAATTTATTAGATTGAAGGCATTCTCCCAGATGGGAGGACGGGGCTATCAAAACAGTGATTTCCATCATTTTAGATTTCAGAGCAATAGAAAATCAGGGCCTGCTGCAGCT